CATATAAATGTGTCATTTTGAACCCTGTGCATCTATTTTGGGTGGGGAAAGGAGGTAATTGAAGTTATTGAGATTCATATATTTGCCACGTGGTATTAGCCTCCATATGGAGCTCTATGGTTGGCTGCTATTATTGTCCCACTAGTTCTTCGAGGGACTGCGACACCCCACTAGTTCTTTGAGGAGGGACCCATGGTCCACCGAGTGCTCTGTGGTCTTTGGCCGGTCCACATCATTCGTGTGGTGAGCTTGTCAGAGTTGCCAGTCAAATGGAAAGAACTTAGCCCATGGGTCCAGTCAGCAGAAATAAGAAGGATATAAGGATGAATTTGGATTCATGGGTTTCATATGACATGGTATCTTCATTGGTGTTTATATCTTTTGAATAAATGAAAGGTATGTTATCTCTTTTGAAATCATCAGTTGCTTGAGATTGGCAGATTGTGAGTTCAACTGTTAGATAAGTGTCTATTGACTATTATTAACTCTGTGTATCCCACCTGACACCTCGCTAGCCCATGCTAGTGTGTGTGATAAGTAGGGATTTAGTTACTAAGACATTGTCTCATCCCTATTGTTTAACATTTTTCAGGTGAAAGCTTTAAAGGAGGGACGTCAGGGAAGACTTAGGAGGAGTAAAGCTACATTAGCAACTTGTAGCGTCTCCTCGGTTTATGAGCTATGTTGTATTCTATATATTGCCACCTTAGGATAAATTGGTTTTAATTGATTCGTGCATTATTATTTCTTATGTCCTTTGAGTGTACTATTGTGGTATGTGTGCTGATAGGTGGCCAGAGGCCTAGGATCGCATATTCGCATGTGATTTATTTATGAATTTATTATAAAGTATGAATTAAGATTTAATTTTTAATATTTTGATTTATGAGCTATATTATATGTTGTTTTATAGCCATATTAGATAAGATTGATTATTTCTTATATAGTTTGTATTTAAATGAGTTAAGAAAAGTTCTTTTATCCGTGATAGGATGTATGATTGGGTACTGCTCTTTTCTATCACGGATAACAATATTATATAATTAGTTAGTGTAGATGATTGTGATATAATTTGAGTTTGTATTTAGCATGATTTGGTTATAAAAAGTTATTTTTTAAAGTTACTATAAAAAAATAGGTTTATCTGTTTATTTAGGAAGGTTGTTTCAAGTGACAACCTTAGTTTATGGGGGTTGGAAGGTCCCATTATATTTCTTCAAAAGGTGTCCATTAACCTTGAGTGTTCTGCCACTATCTTCTTCCAGAACTTCAATCATCCCAAAGTTATGGACTTTGGTAACCAGATATGGTCCTTCCCATTTAGTATTCAATTTCCCAGGTTTGAACGAAAATCTTGCCTTGAACAGGAGAACTTTGTCTCCCACTTGGAAACTTTTTCTCAGGATGTGTTTGTCATGAAGTTGTTTAGTTCTTTCCTTGTAAATCCTAGAGTTCTCGTAGGCCTTTAGTCTGATTTCTTCAAGTTCCTGCAACTGCAATAACCTTTCTAATCTAGTAGCTTTGAAATCCAAGTTACAAATTTTAATTGCTCAAAAGAATTTATGTTCAATCTCTACAGGTAAATGGCAGGATTTTTCATAAATCATTTTGTATGGGGACATGCCTATTGGAGTTTTAACTGCTGTTTTGTAAGCCTAAAGAGCATCCTCAAGTCTAGTACTCCAGTTCTTTCTTGAATGTTTGACAATCCTTTCTAGAATTCTTTTAATTTCCTTGTTTGACACCTCGGCTTGGCCATTAGTTTGAGGATGATATGGTGTGGATGTCTTGTGAATGACACCATATTTTGAAAGCAGGCTATCAATCAGTTTATTACAAAAATGTGATCCCTTATCACTAACCAAAGCTCATGGCACTCCAAATCTCGAAAGAATGTTATTTTTGAGGAATTTTAATACCATTGCTGCATCATCTTTTGTTGTGGCTATGGCTTCCACCCATCTTGAAAGATAATCTATAGCCAAAAGGATATAATTATGTCCAACAGATAGAGGAAACGAGCCCATGAAGTCAATTCCCCATACTTTGAAAACTTCACAGAATAAAATGGGTTGCTATGGCATTTCGTGTTTCTTACTCAAGCCACCAAACCGTTGACACCTATCACAATTCTTGCAATATTCACAAGCATCTTTGAAAATGCTTGGCCAATAAAATCCAGCATCTAGAATTTTCCTAGCTGTTTTCTTTCCACTAAAATGATCTCCGCATGTTGCAGAGTGGCAATCCATGAGTATGCTTTCAATTTCTTCATCCAAATACACCTCCTCACAATTTGGTCACTACAAAGTCTGCACAACAGTGGTTCATCCCATAAGTAGTGTTTGGCTTCACTTTTGATTTTCTAAGCCTGAAACCGAGATAAGGAAGTGTAATTAGACCAATAGTAATGTGATTAACCAAGTGACAGTACTAAGGTTCAGTTATGGTTATAGCAGAAATGCTACAATCTCTAAAGTCACCACAAATCAAATCAGGTTCAGTCACCTCCCCCAGTGTTTTCAGGTAGTCTATTCAAATGATCAGCAACCATATTCTCAGCTCCAGCCTTGTCTTTAATTTCCACATCAAACTCTTGAATTAATAGCATCTATCTCAACAAGCATGGTTTAGTTTGTGGCTTGCTGAATAGGTATTTAACAGCAAAATGATTAGTGTAAATGATGCAAGCAGAGTTTAAAAGGTATGGTCTAAACTTATCCAAGGCAATGACAATGGAGAAGAGTTCTTTCTCAGTTGTGGTATAATTTGACTGAGCTTTGTCTAATGTTTTAGATGCAGAGGCTATTACTTTTGATGTTCTACCATCTTTTTGTCCCAAGACAGCACCTACCGCGTGATTAGAAGCATCACAACAAATTTCAAAAGGAAAATTCCAATTAGGACAGGTGAGGATAGGAGGAGATGTCAATTTAGTTTTTGAGATGTCAATTACGACTTGGCTTTAAAACTGTGTTCATGAAAAAAAATTGTAAATAAATGATAGTCATACACTACTTTCACTGCTAGTTAAGGAATTGACTTTAATCCTAAATGAAAAATATAAATCTACTTTGTTTATCATTTTTCACTTAACTCATAATCTGATACATAATTTAATATTATGGAAATATAATTAAAAGAGATTAAGCCATGTTTATTATAATCAGCTCATCTAACTTATTTAATTTAGACAAATTAAATAACTCTTGATTGCGCTATATTTGGACTATTACTTAATTATCAGAATCTAAATTTGAGTACGGGTAAACTATATGATAGGGAGCCCAAATAAACTAGGGAACGAACCTTAAGCGTAACCGCTGTCGGATCAAATCCAAGTCATCATAAAAGTCGGTGATGGTGGCGGCATGCAAATTCTGGAATGTCTCTTTATCATAACAAAGCCTTCTAGGAGCGACTTCCCACATCAGGCTTTTTAGATTGGGCGCACAGACCTCAATCACAATCTCATCCTCATTCAACTGATGGTGAACGCTGTTCTCAAATAGTAGTTGGTGTAACTCAAGGCTAAAAGGTTGTGGGTGATGATCCTCACTGATTTGAAGCTGCAGCAATCATAAATGGTTAAATCCTCCAAGCATGGGCTTTGTATTGTGAGGTCTAACTGTTTTGTTGAGAAGGGCGACATATTGGCTTGCTTGTGGGATAAACTGTTGAATGTATTAGCTTTGATTTGTTGGGCCAATATTGTTTAGTCAGGGCCCATTAAGTTAGGTCTATAAGTGTATCACAAGCGAAACAGAATAGTGGTAATATTTTTTCCTCTCTGAAATAAAATTCATGTAGTATTCAGATATGTTTGCTAAGTCTCTGTTTCTTATCTTGGCATCCGAGCCCAGGTTGGAGGTCCAACACGCTTCAGAGGCCCACAGAAACTAAAGTTCTTTCGCCTCCCTGAGAATTCCGAACAGATCAGAGGTCACACCGCGAAATCAAGAAACACACCGTCATCCCCAAATTCTTGAACCCTAACTCCACGACGGCAAGAACGATGGGTGACGAGAGAGTATCCGCCGACGCACTGATCAACTTTGCTCATCCGCTCTACCTTCATCCCTCCGACACGCAGGGAGTCTCAATCACCAATCAAATCTTAACCGGGAGCGACAACTATACTATATGGAGCAAGGCGATGCTCATTGCGTTAAGAGGGAAGAATAAAATCGGATTCATAGATGGATCTTGCAAGAAATCCGACCAAGAACCTGAACTTCAGAGTCATTGGGAACGCTGCAACGCTGTGGTAATGTCCTGGCTACTGAATTCCGTCTCTAAGGATTTGGCAAACAGCTTGGTTTATCTGCAAGAGGCGTGCGTCATTTGGGAAGACCTCAAGGAACGCTTTGACAAGGTATCTGGATCCAGAATTTTTTCTTTACACCGAGAGATACACTCTCTACGTCAAGGAGAGCTCTCGGTCTCTGCCTACTACTCGCGTCTTAAGGAGCTTTGGGAGGAACAGGCCAATCTGATAGCGGCTCCGCTGTGTAAGTGCGCTGCATCCAAAGAATATAATGAAGCAATGCAACGCCAGAGATTACTCCAATTTCTGATGGGCCTAAGTGATCTGTACGACAATGCAAGGAGTCAAATACTCCTAATGCATCCTCTGCCGACAGTCAACCAATCTTATGCTATGATTTTGGAAGTAGAAGCACAAAGAGGTATCACAAATATGGACAAGATGAACCCCACAGAGGGAGCGGCAATGATCGCCAGGGGCAGAGGAAGAGGAAGAGGGAGGGGAAGAGGAACCCCTCCCCCAGAATGTGACCACTGTCATAAACGGGGTCACGTGAAAGAAAATTGTTGGGAAATAATCGGATTCCCAGCTGAGTATAAGGGAAATAAATCCAAGCAGAGCCAAGAAGTCAAAGCCAGGCAGAATACTGGAAACCGGGAAGGAGAGGCACTTACCAATGTCTCAAGCGTCTCACCGAGTTTCACACTGGAGCAATATGAGTGCCTGCTGGAATTGTTGAAGAAGGATTCAGATGTCAACGCACACGCACTCAGTGGTACAGGTTTGCCAATTCTAATCTCATCTAGATTAAATCGTAGTAAGTGGGTTTTAGACTCAGGAGCCACTACACACATGGTTAGTGATTTAAGGTTACTGGACAACTACAAACCTTATAATGGACCGATCAAAACCATAAAAATTCCAAATGGAGACAGATTTTCTGTAACTCATATAGGAGATATTAAATTCCCTAATGGAATTGAACTAAAAGGCCTTCTCTATGCTGCAGAACTTCAATTTAATCTAATTTCTATTTCTAGAATCACTAAAGAACTATTATGTGTTGTCTCCTTTTATCCTGATAGATGTACATTGCAGGGCCTACAGGATGGCAGAATGAAGGGGATTGGTAGAGTAGTTCATGGATTATACCTGTTGGATTTAGAAAAGAATTCGGCTAGTATAGAAAATAACAATGATACTTGTTGTTCTGTTACTCATACTGATTTGTGGCTTTGGCATAAGAGACTTGGACATACTCCTATGAATGTAATGAGACATTTGGATATTGTACGAAACAAAACAATGACTATGAATAAAAATTGTGATATTTGCTTTCAGTCTAAGCAAACTAAGCTCCCTTTTTCTTCCAGTTGCATTAAAAGTAAGAATCCTTTTGATTTGCTCCACATGGATGTTTGGGGACCTTATAAAGTGCCCACACATTCTGGTTTTCAGTTCTTTCTAACAATTGTAGATGACTTTTCTAGGGCAACTTGGACTTATCTCATGAAACATAAATCTGAGACTGCTTACCATATTAAGAATTTTTTTGCCTATGTAATGAATCAATTCGGGGTGTCTGTTAAGATGGTAAGGAGTGATAATGGAACTGAATTTGTTAACCATCAATTAGCATCCTATTTTCAAGAAAAGGGAGTGATTCACCAAACCACTTGTCCCTATACCCTAGAACAAAATGGGATTGTGGAAAGGAAACACAGGACCTTAATGCAGATTGCAAGAGGCTTAATAATTCAGTCTGGTATACCTATTAAGTTTTGGGGTGAGTGTGTCAAAATGGCAACTTATTTAGCCAATAGGATTCCCAGTCGAGTTTTAGGCTTTAAAACCTCCTATGAGCTCATTCATGGTCAGCCTCCTAATTATGATCATTTGAGAGTTTTTGGTTGCTTGGCTTATGCAACAGATTTAGTAAATTCGGATAAATTCCAGCCTAGGTCCCTACCATGTGTCTTCTTAGGGTATCCTAACAATCAAAAGGGTTATATATTGTTGGATCTAAAAGATCACAGGGTGTTTGTTAACAGACATGTAAAATTTTTGGAGGATGTTTTCCCTTTTCAAATTAAAGATGGTTTTAATCGAGGGGGAGTGTCCAATGAGATTAAACAGATTTTTTATTTTGATGGTCATGATGATAGCCCACAGATACAGATTTTAACCGAACCTCATCAGGAAGAGGCTCAAATTCAGAATGGCGCCATAACAAATACTAGTAATCAGGTCTCTATTAGTGAAAATGCAGTCCCTATTCCTGTTAATGGGCGTCCTATCCGGGAAAGAAGACCACCTATATGGTCTAGAGATTATATTTGTAATTTGGCTCATTCAGATTCTAATAAAACTTCAATGCGCAGGTCTGCTTGTAAATATCCTATAGAGAATTATATTTCATATGACAATATTTCTCCTTCTTATATGTGTTATCTTTGCTCTATTGATGCTATTACTGAGCCTATACATTATAATGATGCTGTTCTTGATCAGAATTGGGTTGTTGCTATGAAAAATGAAATAGATGCATTAGAACAAAATAGTACTTGGGAATTAGTTCCCTTACCCAAAGGAAAGCAACCAATAGGTTGTAAATGGGTTTATAAAGTGAAGTATAAACCAGATGGGACCATTGATAAATATAAAGCAAGATTGGTGGCTAAAGGTTACAGTCAAACTGAAGGAGTAGATTATAATGAAACCTTTTCTCCTGTAGTGAAGATGGTTACTGTTAGGACTGTTTTAAAGTTAGCTGCTGTAAGTAATTGGCCTTTGTACCAAATGGATGTGAATAATGCATTTTTGCAGGGAGATCTTGATGAAGAAGTTTACATGACCATACCTCAAGGCTTTAAAAAACATGGGGATAATATGGTATGTAAGCTGAAGAAATCCCTATATGGGCTTAAACAAGCCTCAAGGCAGTGGAATCAAAAATTGTCACTGTCCTTGGTCAGTGGGGGATTTCTACAGAGGAAGTATGATTATTCTTTGTACACTAAACATTATGATGATGCCTTGGTGATTATTTTAGTTTATGTAGATGATTTGTTAATCACTGGTAGTTCAGAACAAAGAATTAATCAGGTTAAAGATTTTCTGCATGGCCAATTCAAGATTAAAGACTTAGGTATTATGAAATACTTCTTAGGAATTGAAGTAGCAAGGTCTAAGAAGGGTATTATGTTAACACAAAGAAAGTATACTTTAGATCTTCTTGCTGAAACAGGGATGAGTGGTTGTAAGCCTCTCACTTTGCCAATGCCACAACACTTGAAGTTAATTGCTTATGAAGAAGGAAGGCACAAAAGGGAGGATCTATACAAGGAACCAGGGAAGTATAGGAGGCTAATAGGAAAATTGATTTATTTAACTCTAACAAGGCCTGATATCTCTTTTCCTGTACAGGTCCTAAGTCAATTCATGCAACAGCCGTTGAAGTCTCATTGGTCAGCTGCTATGGGAGTTCTGCGATACCTAAAGCAGTCACCTGGACTTGGGATTCGATTGAGCTCTAAAGGGGATCTGAAGCTTAGCTGCTTCTGTGATTCAGATTGGGGGTCATGTGAGACCACGCGCAGGTCCGTGACTGGTTATCTTCTCAAGCTAGGAGATACGCTGATAGTCTGGAAAACAAAGAAGCAAGCTACGGTTTCAAGGTCTTCAGCTGAAGCAGAGTATAGGGCACTAGGTTCAGCCGTGTCTAAGGTGGTCTGGGTGAAAGGGCTTTTGTGTGATCTGGGAATTTCTGTCCAGCAGCCAGTAGAGGTGTATTGTGATAGCAAATCTGCAATTCACATCGCTACAAATCCAGTCTTTCATGAAAGGACAAAGCATATTGAGATTGATTGTCACTTTGTGCGTGAGAAAGTGACAGAAGGACTTATCAAACTACAGCATGTCCGGTCAGCAGAGCAAGAAGCGGATATATTAACTAAAGCTGTTAGTAAGGAGGTTCAGTTGAAGTTACTCAGCAAGTTAGGAGCTTCTGATGTATTCCAGCCCCAAACTTGAGGGGGGGTGTTGAATGTATTAGCTTTGATTTGTTGGGCCAATATTGTTTAGTCAGGGCCCATTAAGTTAGGTCTATAAGTGTATCACAAGCGAAACAGAATAGTGGTAATATTTTTTCCTCTCTGAAATAAAATTCATGTAGTATTCAGATATGTTTGCTAAGTCTCTGTTTCTTATCATAAACTCTTCGAGGATGGGAAACTCCAGAAAGCCACTCGCCAACTAAATCTTGGATTTCCATCATCCTTTCCATCTAAGAGAGCAATGAGTTCACAGTGAAGGACAACCTGTTTTTGTGTCTCATATAAACAGACATTTTATTTGGGATCTTGCTGTGACTGCCGGCATCATGGAAGCAAGCTTCATCTTAGGAAGCTTCGCCGGTGAGACGAGTGCGGTCATGATCAGTTTTAGAACTTTCAAGGACTCAAATCTGGAGAGGCTTGTGAAGATAGAGCGTAGATCATAATCAAGAGAGAGTTCGTCTACTCGAAAAGCTTGGGATAATTTATCTAACCACCGCTTGTGAAGCTTACGGCTCTTGGGTTTCGTGCAGGAAGATAAGAAAGAAAATCGGTCAATTTTCAGATGATGAAGACGCTGTCGAGGAAGGGTATTCATAAAATTGAAGACACGTTGGCATGAGCAGCTGGGGGGAGAGTCTTTAGCATCAGAGAAGCAGAAGGAGGGGCGGATATGTACAAGGTTTGGAACCTTCTAGAAAATGCTCTGAGTCGTGCAATGTCTTTAACTCGCAGGAAAGACAAAATATGGTGAAGAATGGCATCTGGGAAATTGCCTAATGAATTGCTCCCCTCGGCCATTGTATATATGGCTCACCACAATTCTAATTTTGAACTGCGAGATTCATGTATATTAGCTGAAAGCCAAGCTCATATTTTATTTTATGTGACTTGTTTTTTTGATTATTATACTTCTTGTGTTGTTCAAGTGCCGCGTCAGCGGTTTTCACTCTAACATAGTCACCCACTACCAAACTCAAAGCACAAATTTGGATTTTAAATTTAAATAAGAAAAGAAGGTCCAGATTCTAAAGTGAACACTATTTAAATGCAACCTCAGTCTTTCTATTGGACCCGTTAATTAATGTGTTTGATTTTGTTGTATCCATTGTATTAGGATATCTGATAGAAATTAGAGAGCAATGAGGACTCATCTTTTTGTTTGATCTCTAGTTCTTTACTGTATCAAAAAAGACTGTCGGCTATTACTCGTGGAAGTTTGCTAATTAAGATTGGTTGTTTCTGCAAAAGATTACTTGTCCGGTTCATTTACGCCCGCTCATTCATGAATTTTCTATTAGCAGCGTTCTGAGGCTAATGATATCTCAGATGCATGAATGATACCTGTTTCTAGATCCAAGAAGAAATTCTTGTAAAAATCAAAGTCGTGAGAGTTTCTTAGAACCTTCTGAGTCATCATGTTCATCCTCTGCGTTATATGACTCAAGAGAAATTGCCGCGCTTCGCTGCATAATGTACCAGTTGTTATGCCAAAAGGTACCAGTTAGTTTCATTCTGTTATCATGTTAGCCTCCAAATCACCTGGAACAAAGGAAAAAAACATGGTGCTGATGATGATAATGTTAGAAAATACCCCAGTGACACGACGCTGAGTTGATTTTGAAGAACTATACCTAAAGTATCTACTGGGCAGGCAGGGATATATTGATGGCCAGGTATATCATTTGATCGGACAAGTGTTGAGAACCGTTCAAATGCTCATTGGGCGTAGCACCTGAGTTCTGTTTATGGTTAGCGACATCCTCAGATTCCGTCGGGCCTTGTTCTGGTATCTGGGACGTTGGTTTCAAACAGGCTTCACCATTAGGATTCTCTTGTGAGACAGGCCATGCTGCCATCCCTGTATCTGGACCACATGAATTCTTTTATGCTTCTTATGGTAATAACCATTCGACATGAAGCTCCCCATCAAAATCTAAAACCCAATCAAAAAAGATAAGCTGAGATGCTAGGTGGATTCATCATTCTTGAGTCAGAAGTTGAATAGATCATTAATATGATACCTGGATTAAATCCCCACCAACTGTTTGCGAAATGCAAAGTATCTATCATGTCTACTGTATTAAATCATACTATTATGTGAATCTGATGTAGATGACTAGGTGTTTACTCGGGTTTCTGCATTACCTCTCCGGTATGAACAGTACCATGTGAGGCGTAAAATCCCCACCAGCTGTTTGCGAAAAACCCACCTTCAAAGACGGTAAGGCAGATGTTAGAAGAAGATCTGTTTCTCAAACAATAATTTCATGCATATAGGATTCTATCAGCAATTCAGCATGCATTTATGCCGTGCACGAATCGTCTGGTTCAACTTGTTTTTAAAATCACAGTTCATCCGTGGACAAAAAAGGAAACCCAACCACTTTTCTTGCATATTGGAAAGTTCGTTTGTCTTCAGCGATTATGGGCCTTAGCTCACCGTCTGTACAGCCAAAGATAAAGGATCCTTTTGAATTGATGATTAAAAAAAGTAGTTTATGGGTAATTTGATTTTTGAAAAAATTAAATTCAGTAAAAATTAAATTGGTTTGTATGAATTGTATTTAGATTGAATTTTATAAAAATTAATTTGTAAAAGTTAGATTGAGTAAAAAATTGGTTAGATTATAATTGAATAAAAGTAAATTTAGTTTGGAAAAGTACTAAAATGAATATGAATTTTATTAAATAATAAAAAATAATAGAAAAATAAATTTATATAATACAATAAATTTAAATTAGTAAGTTTAGTTTGTAAAATTCCTAAAAATAAGTATCAATTTTATTAAATAATAAGAAACAATCAATTTATTAATTTAAAATATCATAATAAAAAATATCATCAAAATATATTTAAATGGCCGGATTTTATTGGATTGATATTAATATCACTAGGAAATATTAATCTACGTATTCTTATTAAAGAACAATATGCTCATGTTGGCCGAGAGAAAGAAAGAACATCTTGTCAGACAAGCGGGAGACAGAGGGAGGAGTATGAGACGAGGGGACAAGCGTGAGATAGAAATGAGAGAGAGGAGAGAGAATAAAAGCCATAAGCAAGTAAAAGCTACCTCTTTCGGCTTATTTTCAATCTCATTTTTACCCAACTTTTGGCCCTCAAACTCAATAGCCCACAAACTATGCCAAATAAGACCACAATTTTCAATCGGGCTTCTCTAGAAAATAAACTCCTTGTGACCCAAAATAAGCGCTCCTAAACAGGCACTAATTCTATGTAATTTCTCATCCTAATACATCTAATATATTTAGGACTACCTTAATACAGTCTCGAGATAGAGCAGGTTTAAGACTTTAACTTAGAAAAGGAATACACATCTAAGCAAAAGGAGAGCGAAACTCACTAAAGGATGCAAAGAGGTGGTGAATAGGCTTGGGTCAAGACCTTATATATATATACTCCTCCGGTCCTAAATATAGAACCCTTATATATACTATATAAGGGTCTTATATTTAGGATCGGAAGAGTGTATATATATAGTTGGTTGACATGGGAGGAGAAAGAGAAGGCAGAGCCGGACTGGCCCTGGTACGACGTCGTCACATTGATTAGTCGTTTTATTTCACTCAGAGGTTTAGTAAATTCAATGTAACGACCCACCGTTTTGTTCGTTGATATCACTGTAAGAAGAGCAGGTTGATCCCTAGGCCTCTTGCTTCCTTTCCTTCTTCTCCAATTCCTCTGTTCTCTCCATTCTTTCCCTCCTTTTCTCTATTCTTTCCTATTTGAATCACAGGTTCTATTAGCGCTTCATTACTTCGTCATCCTTGAGTTGGTTGTCATCTTCTTCTTGGTCTATGTTTTCACTCCGCCACTTTCTCTTCGT